GGCGTGGCATGCTTTGTTTTAACGGCTTTTGTGTTCGCCCGGCTATTTACACTGGAAAATTGTACTCAAGTGCTAATATTGCGGGCCGTCGAGAGACGCAGATAAGGCCATACACTCTGCTTAGCCAACTGAGTGCCGACTGCTGAGCGTTGAGTGGCAACTGACTTGATATGGCCAGACAATGCCAGACGAACAACAATCGAGGGGGTGGGCCCCATTCGGGTCAAGTGAAGGCAGGGAAAGACGTTAGTCACTATCGGAAAATATACATACAGTCTAGGGCAGTCTGGGCAAGACAAAGGGCTTTGGTGGCCATTTTTGGCTAGGTGTATCGGGAGTGTTTGCCGAAGATAAGGAGTCCTCCCAAGGAGGCCAGACAAGTCCTGTCGATGAAGCCTCTCATATTTCCTGGCTGTCTCGCAGAATGCGGCCAAAGGCTTTCACTAATCGATGGACGAAAGCTGCGGCCGAGATAAATTAGCCACAAATTGTTTTTTGATAGGAAATCTGTTAATGGATTTTCCGAAGGCGCTTTAAGATAAATTGATTTAATTTTGTTCGTAGTAACATAGGACTTGCCTTTAATTAATAGAGGGTGATTTGGATTTATACGCCATTAAAGAAAACTAATGGATATTGGATAACAGACATACAGAATGCATTTAGAATTCATACCTTTTCAATCACACGTTGTTATATCATAATTAAAGTGTCAACATCTGTCAGTCAGTCAAAATCATCACTGTCTTAATTCAGCTTATACCCAATGGCATTTGAGCTGTTCCAGACAAATTAGAGAGAAATTACCCGAACGAACGCCCATCCAATCCAAACATCTTCGCCCCTTTGCTCTTCACCAAGTTGCGGCATGCTGACAATTAGTGCTTTAAATTAGGTGGGCGAAACATTGGGGCCTCCTGCTCCTGGGAGTTCCTGTGGCTTCGTGTGTTGTTGCACGGTGCTGAAATGAAATTGATTGTACTTTTCGCTGCCCCACTGGGAAATCTGAATGGGGGAGTTGGTTGGGCAGAAAGTACCGGTGTTGATGGTTGTGGGAGGCAGCTTTCCGAGGCAGAAGCTGAGCAGCTCGTTAGCTTAAGGTGCTTTGGTATTTGCCTTCTCGGCCGACGGACAATGAGACGCAAAAGCCAAGTAATTAAGACAGTGACAAACACTCAACGGAACCACTTAAGCAGGAGCAATGAGTGCGACGAAGACAGACTAACAGACAGACAGAGAAGGACGAGCGAGCACAAAGGACAAAGGTCAGCGAGCCACTTGGCTCGTGTTTATGCGCCTTTTATGCTGCAACTTCATTAAATTTTACTTTTATGAGCGCAAACAAATCGTTAAAAACATCTCAAAGCTCCTGCACAATGGCTGCCCCGCCCCGCGCCGCCCACTCCGCCTCCGTGGAGCTCCATTGAGCGTCGGGAGCAGACAACTGGGGCAGGAAATGTAGCCGGACAACGGTTCTTTTAATTACTTTCTGCATAAATTTGCACTCATTTCCGGCCCTCGCTCATTCGACGGAGTTTTCTCCACCAGCTGGACGCTAAATGGAAAACAAATTTGGCTGTGACGAACGCGAACGAAATAATAGTGGCAGTTCCGAAAAAATATCCATTAATCTACATTGTAATTTTTTCGTATTTGCCCGTTCATTTACGTTTTTACGTTTTTTTCCAATTTATCTATACCCTTTTATCCTGAAAACCCTTTTTTTCTAACCAAATTTTATCTGTTATATACAATCTCTTGTATTTTTTATTGATTTCAACCTGAATCAAGCTCTTTTATTAGCCCTAAATATTTTATGCATCATTTCATGTTTTATGATCAGCTTATTTTTTAATCGCTTTTTTGTGTACTGCAGATATATCAAAGTAATATGGTTTTTACCCCAACCATTTTTGATTCTCAATAAAAAATATCTGTAAAAATTATTTGGTCAGTGAAATATTGAATTTTATTGATTTAAAAAAATAGATAAAAATCCTTTGAAGTCAAGAAGTATATTCTTTACTGAAAATACTATTCTTTCGTTCACGTCTGTTAATGCTTACTTATATGTTTGCTGCCCAGCTTAGCGCTTTGTTATGCCAAGTAAAAAAATTTATGCAAAGGAAAAGTGCAAAGGCGAGAGGTCCTCGAAATGTTGGCCCATAAAGGGAGTTCCCGCGTTCGCTTTACGCCAGTCGCTTGATGGCGAACGGCGAAACGCGGCTCCTAATGCTCCCGTGATCCCTTCGGCTCCTTGTTCCCCACTCCTTCCATCGAAGCACATGTGCAGAGGGTCCTTCGGGTGTCCTGATACAAGCTGCCATTGGCAGGGGCCGGTGTAGCGTTGTCCTGTTGTCCTGCGCTCGCCGCCCCTTTGCTGTTCGCTGGCAAATTGTTATTTAATTATGACATCCTTGCCCCATCCTGCCGGGATGGACCGCAACCGGTCACGTCCCGGCGTAATGGCGAATAAATCAACAGCGGAAGCGTTGCAGGTGACGTGCCACCGATGTGGTGGTTGTGGTTGCCCGACTTCCCCTGGCCAGGATGTGTCGCTTATCCTCCTTTTGCCTCAAAGCGCCAGGAGCAGTGGTAGCAGAAGTTGTGGCAACAGCAGCATGATTCGGAGCGCGAAATGATTGACTTTAAAGTCAAATTGCGCAATCTAAGCTAAAGGCAGACCCCTCAGGCGTGTCGGAAATGGCTTGCAACACGGGGCACAGAGACACGGGCTTTTAGCCATGCTTCCCCTCGGTTTGCAATCAGCGACGGAGCTTGGCATGACATTCAATTAACTCGATGCCGAGCTCTAGACCTGGCCAGCAGCCATCAGCCAGCAGCCAATGTCTCTGGCAAAACGGGAATACGAACGAGGCGCTTGGAAACATTTCGGAAATTAATCCTCATGTCGACTCTGCTGCAGGATATTCGGAAAGGGAATATTTCAGATGGACACTTTTGTGGTTCGGCACTTCCTTTGCCGGGTGGCTAAAGTTCCATTAAAGCCAGCACTACTTGAAAAGTTTCGGAGTTCTTGGAATGCTTTTAAAAGTTTCAATTTAAAGTCGCCGAGTCGTTTCAGTTTTACTTTCGATATGCCACTACCAAAAGTTTTACCTTCGGTGAAGTTTTCATTGCTTTTATTAGACACTTAAAGTAACTACCGCATAGAAATGTAGATTAAATCCCAGAAAGAAATTCCTATTATCATTGGAACTACATTCGTTAGTTACTGTTTTTATAATCAATACAAATATATTACTAATGATTTAACAATATCTATCTTGAATATTGTTTTTACATTAATAGACATATCTAGATGACAGATACCCATTTTGATATTCTCAGTTAAATCCATCTCCCGAATTTGTCCATTAACTTTCTGTCTTCATGACATCCATCTGCTCTTGACAGCTTCCGGCTGTGATTATCAAATCAAGATATAATTGCCTCGATGGCCCATCGCCATTACCCTCGTCAAGAATGAAGCTGCTGGGACCAGCGGTTTCAAGCAATTATTTTAGTCGTGTGGCAGCTCATCGGGAATTCAGTTGGTGACCCAAATTCGACATCATAATCGTTTGCCAGCACCCAGGATTTGGCCAAGGACAAGCGGCAATCGCCGCTTTGGCGCAGGACTCCTGAGCTGCAGGTCGTAAATAGTTTTCTATTGCCGGCGAGCAAATAAGTCAATATTAAGTTAAGCGAGAAGCAGCACTAAGTCGCCTTTTGTGGCATGTCCCTTCACTCGGGGCTTTGGTTTTGGCTTCACAGCAATTCCTTATCCTTTATCAAGGCGACTGTCGCCCGCAGAGGAGCAGCCAGCCTGCATGTGAGTTTGAGGACGAGAGTCCTGCGTCTCGTGTCCTGCGTCCTGAGTCCTGAGAGTGCTGAGAATGTTTTCAAAATCCACTCAAGCTCACTTAGAAGTCACCAGCGACAGCAGGTGGAAAATGGTGATGGTTGGTGGGTGGGCCATTGAGACATTCGACTTTATGCTGCGAACATTCTCTCGGATTCCGGGGATTACCTTCCTCTCCTCTCCTCTGCGAACCAATAAACTTGACAGTTAATCCGTAATTGATCTGGAAAAAGGTACGATTATGATAATGAAGCTGTGACAATGAGAATGCTGATGTTACCGAAACTGACAATCACGGAAATTTGAAGTAAAACTCAAGGAGTGACCAGAAATAAACCCCGCAGTAAAGACACTTCTTTATGCTCGGTTTTTCGGTTCGGTTAAAGTGCCATTCCGGCAGCCACATGAATTTAAATTTTTATTTGACAATAATAAAAGCGGGGACGTGGCAGAGACAAATGTCCTTGGGTGATGGTGGTGCTTCTGGTGGCGGAGGTTATGGTGCTGGCTGGGGAAATGCGTTTATGGAAATGCGTAAAACGCCAAGAAATTCGCAACTTACCTAAGCAGCCATAACAGCAGATCATAAATAAAACAATATCATATGAATGCTTACGAGGCGTGTGTGTAATGGCGGGGAAGTCTGTTTGGGTTTGGGTATTGCAGATGGGGGATTGGGGGGTTTGGGTGACACTGCGACAAGTAAGCAAAATGTTATTTGCTCCTTGGCACACAATTGTCAGACAAGGCGAACGAGGCTGCTGGGAGCACGTGCAGGTCCTGCCAGGATATGTAAATCCGGGCGTGTGTGTGTGTGGTGCGCATAGATATAACCATGTTCCCCGCTTCAGCTCCTCCGAAGATGGTAGTAGTGCAAGTGTTAGTGGAGCAAGCAGTCTAAGGACGAACCCCTCGCGGCGTGAGCATAAGCCAAAAGTGAGGAAACCAGCAGCCAAAAGGACCTACGCAAGGAGCATACAAATGCCAGACATGGCGCAACTTGTCATAAGCGGCACATGCGGCTTACAAGGAAAATAACCTGCCAAACCGAAGGACACCAGCAACTCGAACAGAATCAGCAGGAGCAGTAGCAGCAGGAGCAGCAGGAGCAGTAGAAGTCAGGAGCAGAAGGGGCACGAGCAGCAGCACTATGGAACAGGATACTGCAGCAGGTCCTGCCAAGAAGAGCGGCACCACCCTCTCCGTGGACCGGGCCGCCTTTCTCCTGCTGCGCGTTAGGAAAGTGTTCAAGAAGAAGCGACAGCAGCGCAAGGAGCGACAGTAAGTCGAATGTTTGCCATTACTTACCCACCGCAGGGGGTGATTTCTAAGGGGAGAGGGGTGCTATTCCACTAGGGACTAGTTTGCCAGGATTTACAGGATTTCCCCGGGGCAGCGATGCAAAGCCCATCGAATTGTCATCCAGCCGAAGGCAAACAGAATTAACAATCTGTTTGAACGGCGGATTGAAAACGGATTGGTCCGCAATCAATAGCGATTTAGTTAACAATCACGAAGCGGCGGTCCGAAACTAAATCACATTTTGGTCCCCAGTTGCTTATTTGGATAATAAATTCAACGTTTTTGTGTTTTCAAGGTTCTTACGTTTGGTTGGCCAACAAATAATTCACTGAAAATAACTGAAAATAGTGGCCCTAACATAGTTTGTGTAATTAATTTAAAAGTATTTAAAACATTTTAGCCCAATCGATTTTTAAAGTAATTAAATTACCAAATGCCATTTACTGCCAATAAAAATATTGCTTGTTTAAGTATTGACATTTCGTTGAGGGGTTATTTCAATTTAATTTTTTTGTGACAAAGTTTTATGTCCTTTTTTGCAGATTTTTGTAAGCATTTTCAAGCAAGTAAATAAAGCAGATTTTCTTTAAGCTGAAAATAACAAATAACCAAAGAAGATATTCTTTTAATTCGGCAAAACAAACAAATATGGTACTGAAGATTTATTTGTACAGGTGGTTTAGTTTGTTATCCTTTGGTTTCTTGTGTTTTAATTTAAAGTTTCTTAAGATTGAATTACATTCCCAAAAATCTGTGGCTTCCCAGGCACCTAATTTTAGATACAGCAAAAGTGTTTTAAGCTTGAAATTGGAAACCCTCCTGGAAATTGCCGAATACCCTGCGGAAATGAATGAAAAGCAGCTTTTAGGTGCCTGCATTTTAAGCGCATTTTAGCCGAGTTCGGTTGAGTGCCTGGCAACGCAATTGTATTGCCGGATGCAACGTGCGAAGGACCCTCCAACTGGCTGATAAGTAGGAGCCTTAGCCTTACAGCGGCCAAGTGTTTTTTTTGGGGGCGTTCGGGGCGTGGCAAGGTGCAGATGGGGGCGTGGCCAGGCATCCAATCTCGATCCCATGCACGTCCTGCCGCCATTGCTCATTTGTTTGCCAGGAACGCAACTCGTTAGAGATTCGCAGCAATGTTTATCCGCAGTTCCACCCACTCGCTCGCCATCGCAGTTTATTGCACATTTTGGAGTGTGCGTGTGCTGCAAAGAAGAAGGAAGTGGAATTTTCTCGCAAAAAATTTCCTTTTACCCAGCTGCATCGCGGCGTAATGAAAATGCTTCTTATGTCCTGGCATTCGCCCGCCCAACATTTGCTTAAGGAGCAGGGAGACTGCCAAGGAATGCCGAACGGCAAACTCAATTAGGCACGAGCAACGAGGAAGCGGGCTTCAAGTGGGTTCGCTTAAAGTTCACTCACTTATCCTGGAGTTCACGGAACGAGGCTGCCGCCCTTAACCCATTCAAAAAAGGGGGCGTGGCCCGTCGGGTGTCCTTTTGAGCTGGAAAAAAAGAGCCGCCTTCCGATGATTTGATTACACGAACAACATTTGCTCTAATTATGCACGCACATGTAAACACAGCAGCAAATGCAATTACAAGGACCCCCGCATACACACACAAACACAGCAACTCTCACACACACAACCACATGGAGGATTACAGGGCGCCCACGCTGCGTATGCGTAATTTGGCAAAGCCTTTCGGCTTAGTTGTTCCCTTTGCACACAAATGAGGCCCAAAATGCGAGTGGAATGTTGTCGTAGCTGATGTTAATACGCCCGATACGAAAGAACTTCATTAGTTTTCGAGCGAGGTGCCGATGGAACTTCCTAATTGCACTATGCAAATGGGAGTCGAGATAATCGTTGGGGAGTAATTGATTCACAAGGTGTGTACCTTTGTGTTTCTGTGACACTGTCCAGTGATAATTCTTCCCTGAAGAGCAGTGTTTCATATCCCTTTGATCTCGGCTTCCAGCTGCCTTGCTCATTAAGTAACACCTTTCCTCGCATGGCTCCATTATCACGGCGTAAACTTTTATGCAGGCCCCATCTTAAAACACTTTTCCGAGCAATTCCGGCAACATGTTAACCTTTTTTCACTCTTTTACCAACACCACCCACTCCCCTTCTGCTTTTTTGGCTGTTGGGTAATGTACGATTTACGGTTACGAGTATTTCACGTCAATTATGTAGATCCGCTTTGAGTTATGCGAGTGGGCTGTGGCAGGTCGCTAACCCCCGAACCCCAACCTGCCACCCCTTTCGTCAGTTTCATGGCTTTGTTGCCTTTTGGAGCTCCTGCTGCGAGCTGTAACAGCTTGGCTTTAGTGGGTGCTGCGGCATTATACTCGCTCGTTTTTGCCCCTTTGTGCTCGACACTCTTCAAAAAACGCCGCCGGGAAACCTCAAGCCTCTCAGCTGCACAGCGAAAATATTTTCCTAAATTAGACACTAATTTTGTATACGCACAATGTAGTTTAGCTGATAGTAGATTTTGGCTGAGATAGCTGGTCTACCAGAATTTAGTGAACATTAAGTGCGTACTTAACTCCAATTCATTTTATATAAAAATATTTGAGAGGCACTGCTTGATAAAAAATATAAGACAAGGAAAAATATATGTTTCAAATAACAATCTTTAGTGTTATAAAGATTTTATGTTTGTTTTCCGTCTTTTAATAAGTATTCTTGTTGTATATTTATTTAACCTTTCTTTTTTTATTATTTTAGTTATTTTTTTCTGTGTGCTGTAAAAACAAAAGGGCGCCATGGGCAAAACTTAACAGCTTTAACTTATTTCGCTAAGGCATTATGTAATTTTTCCTTTATTTATGTGTGGACATTGTGCTGTGTGTTGCTCTTTTGGCAGCTTTAACTATTTCGCCTGTTTTCTCAAGTTGTTCGCTGTTGTCTCCCCTTGCCCCATCGGTGGCAAGGACGCAGATAAATTGCTTACATGATTCCTTTGCCTTTTGCTGCAACTTTGCTGCATTTTTTCCCTGTGACGGCAAAGAAATAAGTGCGGGTGCAGCTTTTTGCCATGGAGAAGCAATTGAATGTGTTGTCCCTGGCTGGGATCTTGTAAATGCCTCTGGGTGGGTAAAACTTTGCTGATTTCTGTTCGTTTGGCAGACCCGTCCGCTATCGCCATCAATGTTGCAGGAGACATGATGTTGTTGGGAACTCTGGCAGATATTCGGGCGCCTTGGCAAAATGTCAAAGTCAGAAATAAATCAAATAAAAAGTTTTTCCCCTTTTTTTTAGCATACTCCTCTTGTGATTCTCGTTTTTTATTGCATGCAGATATATAGGAATAAATGCGTGCAATTCGAGTGGAGGGAAAGTGGGTGGTTGAATGGTTGGATGGTTGGAATGGGTTGTGGATCTGTTCCATCATTTGAAGGAGGAGCACCAGACGCATCTGGTGTAGGCGTCAAGTTGGGAATCGCACTCGAGTGCCAGGAATTCAATCACACATCAGGCGGCTGAAATAGCGGGGTTTTTATGGAAAACGGAAAAGCGGGATGGCGGGAAAGCGGTAAAGCGGGAAACCGGGAAATCGGGGAGCTGCCAGCTGTCGTAGGCAGCTGATAACAGGGCGCTCGAATGGGTTTTGCAGGGCCGCTGAGGTGTCGAAAGTAATTTCCACACAACAATCAAATGTAATTCACATGCGAGCGCGAAAAAAAATGCGCAAAGCGACAGCTGGCAATGACACTCAGCCAACGCACAGTGGGCGAAAGTAATAGACAAATTAAATTCCTGGCATTTGGGCTTGCCACGGAAGTATCTTCAATAAAATGTCGATTCAAGTTTAAAGGCTGGAATGGAAAGAGTCCAACTATGTTTCTTGTAAACTATACAATTAAAAGATTCACTTAAAATCATTAAATTGGATAGTCTTCTTTGTATTTTTAAATGTAAAATAAAGTCTTTTATTTATTTGAGATTATAAAACATTTCTTTTATTGCAATCTAACTTTCATTAAGACGTCTTAAGAGTTGAAAAACAGAATAGGATTCCTGCACATCATCCTTCCAATCCTTTCGTTCAATGTGCCAGGGAATTTTCGCAAGGATTGGGCGTGGATGCCAGTGGGTGGGACATGCAAATGAAACGGAAATGGCGTGGAGAAGTGCAATGAGGACGGGAAATAATTGCATTTACTTGCTGACACTCCCGACTCGTCGCACTTAATAAATAATAGCATTAACTTATTATTGGCACTTTCTTTTGCTCTTCCGCACCCTTTTGCCCCCGCCCACTTCTCCATTTCTCCACTTCTCACCCGTTCAATTCATTTCCTTTCAGAGCCCAGCAGAGTGGCGCCGCCGCGGGTGGAGCAGGTGGAGTGGGTGGTGCCGGCGGCGGTGGTTCCGGGTCACAATCGCGACCGGGCAGCCGCAAGCTGCCGCCGCCATTGTTGCGGTCGCGCACACTGCCCGCCATCATTGTGCCAGGACTTCCGGTCGTCTCGCTGCACACGGACAAACAAACATTTCAATTGGGTAAGTACAAGTGCGCCCGCAATGGGTTAATTACATTCGAGAATCACGTGGGACAGCCAGGTCTTATCTTTACACACCGAACGACTGTAATTACTCAAAATCATATTTTGACAGTTAATGTTGCATACATAATTGCTATAATAAAGCTCTTTCAGAATTTCCTGGAAAAAATGATTGAAGAGAGTTCATATTCATTAATTATTTTTCCGACAAGTTGAAATACCCGTCAAAAGCAAACAAAAATTAAAACAATATATGATAGATTGAAAGTACTATTTAAAATTTAGTAGTTGTACTATTATTTTGGACGGAACTGTACTTGTGCGTTGGGAGTAAAACAGTTTAATTGAGATAACATTCGGGCTCGAAACAGAAATTGATTTATTATGGCTAAGCTGAGAAGCAGGTCAAGGACATCCGATAAAAGCTTATATATGGCTGTCTGTTCTGAGAGCTGCTGTTAAAGGCTTATTTACGATCTAGAATACCAACTCCAGCATCCTTTCATTGATTTTCCTTTGAATGCCTTTAAATCTGTAAATTACATTTAACCTTTCCCACACAATTTTTAAATGGAATTCTCTCTTGAAAGAGATTCAATACAATTTCATGGACCAGATTTAATTGAATAACTAATTAAAGGGCATGGAAAATGTATACCATTTTAGCGCTGTAAAGAATGCTACAAGAAATATAGTTTGAATATTTTAAGAAAAAGGTAAATACTTTAAAATTCAAATTAAATTTACGAATTCTTGTTCTTAGCTTAAAAAATACTACAAGTATAATTGAAATTGGCATATTCTGCTGAAGTAATCCGATTACAATAAGTGGTCAGGCAATTCAAATTTAGGACTTGTTCAAATGAAATCTAAAGTGCTTGAACGGCTTTGTTTCATGGAATTTTGTCTTCTCCGAAAACCATCGTATTTTAATGGAAATGCTTTGCGGAATTTCCTCTGGCATCGGGACATGTTTGTGTGGGTTTGGCATTTTGTGGCAGCATGATATGTAATTAAAAACTTTTGACAGGTTTTCAAAGCATGTTATGATTAATAAAATGAAAGTGCATTCTGCCCACACAGGCCTTTTTGTATATAGACATGCAAAATCCGTATATTTACTGACCGTTTAATCCCATTTGCCACATTTCCCGCAGACGAGCGTTTGCTGGGCAGCAAAAGCCGCAGCGGCAGTGCCAGCGGTCATCGATGGTCGTTGCTCACACGTGCCACCAACAACATCACAAGCAGCAGCAGCAACAGCAGCAACAACAACCCGGCCAGCAGCAACAACAACAACAACACCCATTTGGCCAACAACAACAACACGCTGATGGTGAAATCATTGAATTTGCCCAAAGACGATAGCAATTTGGTCTATCGGCGAAAGTCCTCGGGCAGCACACCGCACCACCATCAGAGCTCGCACCACCACCACCAGCACCACCAGCAGCAGTTGCACCAACAGCAGCAACATCAGCAGCAGCTGCAGCAACAGCACGCCCACCTGCAGCATCTGCAACATCTGGGGGACAGCTCTTTGTTCCAACTATCCGATGACTTCGAGTGCCACGCGGACGGATCCCTTTTGCTCAGGTGGGTAAATCACAGAGATATCACTAATTAAGGGGTTTTTAAAGCTAAATGACTTCAATATTTTGGCTAGAGGCAAGACAAATTTAATTAAACGAACAACTAAAATTGGCAAAAAATATAATTTAAATATACAGTCGACTCTCGTTAATTCGAAACTCGAGGGACTCTTGAAATATTTCGAATTATCGAGTGTTTGAAATATCAAATGGTTCGAAATTTGCGAGAGAAAATAAATAAAACTTCGAATTATTAAGTGCTTCTTAATTTTTATTTATTAATATAAAAATGATAAGAATTAAGAGGTACATTCGTGGACGTACATGTATTCGTAATGTGAATTAATTAATCTTTCGAAAGAACTTCGTTATACTGGTTTGCTTTAAAGCACAATTCTGCTGCTCACACTGCTCAATAACTTTTTTTAAGAGAAAAAGTGCCTGAAATGCTTTTTCATCACTTTCGTTTTGTAGACATAAGCTTTATAAGGTATCAAATGAGGTTTTTTCTTCCTTAACTGACACCTCTGCCAAAGGTTCTTTCTACTTTCTAGGGCTCATAGCTAACACTAACTTTTAATATGCATACCAGCGAAATAGTAACAGCAACTGAATAAGTAAACAAACCAATTCGTAAGAAGTGTGTGCGTCAAATGGTAAAACTACATACATAATTAAAACAAAAACAAAGGCAAGTTTGAACTTGTCCCAAAATTTCCGCCTTTTTTCTTTGCAACTTTGAATTGTCGAGTGTTAGACGCTGATGACTTCGAATTAACGCGTGGTTTTGTTAAATATCAATTAATTTTTCGTTCGAATTACCAAGTGTATGAAAATGTATTGATTTAGTTCGAAATATAAAGAGATTTCGTAGGGACCTCGTGATAACTTTGAATTATAGAGAGGTTCGAATTATCGCAGGTTTGAATTAACGAGAGTCGACTGTAGCAGGTAAATAGCTTTACTATTTTCACTACATTTTCGGAAAGCATATAAAGTTTTGCAGCTGCACATCATAAATAAATTATCATTTGGTTGCCAAAAAACAATGTCCAAAAAATCAGACATTTGTCAGCTGAAGTCAAATGTTTGTTAGACGAAAATTAACTCTGAAAATAAATGCGAAAAATTCATTTTAACAAGTTTTTGATGATGCACAAATTAATTCTATGAATTAACTTGTTTAAAATTGTATATAGTTTATAGAAGAGAATTAAATGGAAATTGCATAAGCAACAGATTTTCATAAGTGAACATAAAAATGTCAAAAAGTTAAATTTGGACGATTCAAACCGGAAAGCGTGGGAAATCTAATTGCAACTAAATTTCGTTCGTCTTCTGTTTAACATTGATTGTTATTGATTTCTTAAGCACATCGGATTAATAGTCTTGATTTTAATAATAATTTACAACTTTTGTAGCGATTTACTGCCTTTACCAATCAATTTTTCCTAATTAAATTACCTCTGTTCCAGAATTCCTTCTCCTCATGTGGTGGCAGCGCGTGCCTATCGCCTGGCGGCCCGAAAGAGAGCGGCCGCCTCCTCGGAGGCCTCAACCCCAATGTCCCGGGAGCACACTCTGCATGAGATGCCGCTGGCGGAGACAGCCAGCTCGGGATCGGGATCGGGGTCCGGATCCGGGTCTGGATCGAGCACGACCTTCACGCGCCTGGCCAAATTGCTGCATCAATCAAGCGGCCTGACAGGCAGGTCCAATCTGCAGCCACCGCCGCCTGGCGACAATGCGGTCCAGAGCCTGGGACGAGGACTCGGCCTGGGGCTCGGCGAGGAGGCGCCACGGCGTCTGTCCTGGGAGAGGTGCGTATACGTAATTTACAACTCAACAACACCACCGCACCGCACTTGCGGTGCAGACAGCTCTGTCCCGTCACCTTTCACCTTGACTCGTCTGGTGGAGAGCTGCTGCAATTAGCTAATTTCATTTACGCCCTCGAGCTGGAAAGCTGATCTCGGTCGGGTGTCTCGGGGTCTCTGGGTCTGTGGATCTGTGGGTGTCTGCCACCTAATGGTCGGCCATATATATGAGGTTGGTCAGACGGATGGACAGAGGGATGACTTGATGACAGGCCAGCAGCTTGGTCTGCGCTCGAGTGCCGCATTTGTCTTCATTCGTTACGGTTCACGGCGAGCTAATGGAGACACATGCAGTCGCAGGATTAACACGCCCCGAGCATTACATCCTCCCCCCTCCTCCCCCCGCTTGCCACACTTGCTGCTTAATTAACGCCACTCGCTCCGCACGATAAGTTGCACAAATCAAACCGCAGCTGGCCGGCTTGCAGGTGGTATTAAGACTTAGGACTTAAAGGTCCTGGCAACCCCGAAGGCAGGAGCATTTGTTCGGAATGGGGTAACCAATTAAGCAATAATCCCAGCTAGTTGCTATAGGAATAATCCATACCACAAGTGGAGAGTACTTGAACAATTTGGGTAACTTTCAATTGCTTATTGTTATCATTTGTATAAAAGTTTAGTGGTGATAAAGCAACCCAACAAACAAGTACTTAATCTGCCACTATAGGTAGATATACAAAATAATTCTTGTGGTTCATCCAGTTTGGATATTATTTTCATATATATATATACCCTAATTACTCACACTTTTTTTTACAGTGCACAAAACGCGTGCAATGAGTCAAACAAATGTAATGCCACTTATTTAATAGTGGCTTTTGTTCGGTTTACCAGCAATAAATAATTGAAAAGGGATGCAAGTTAAATTGGAATTCCTAATTTTAGCTCGTTCGCTGTTTCCAAATTCACCAGCTTCAACGGATTTGTGGCGGAATCAAACTAGTCCTGATTAATTATGTAAGCACATTTATCGACATGAAACAAAGGGGAAATGGCTAAGCATCATTTATGAGGGCCAAATATAGACTGCCCGATTTGCCATGTCCCTGACGGGATTAAGCAATTTACGAGCGGAAAGACTATGACTTGAACTCTCCGTTCCGCTGCACAATGGACCACTTGCCGTTGACCATGGTCAAGAGTGTAAAATCATTTTGGCAAACAAGCCGCAGGGGGTGCAAAAGGGCCTTTCCCCCACCGAAAGCACTGATTGCAACGCTTCTGTCTGGGTTTCTCTTTCTGTCAGCAGGACACTGGATACGGAACACAGAATACAGAACACAGAATACAGAACACAGAATACAGAGTGTTGGGGCAACAACGTCACTGCTTTATGTGTTTAAACTTTGATATTTTCAAATGCAAAAACCCAAAACCGAAACAAAAGGAGTCCGCTCTCTTTTTTTTTGGGAGGAAGGGTTATGGCCAGCGTTGTTGTTCTGTTTGCACAGCGCTACGTAGCTAAATTTAGAGCCAACGAGCTTGTACGCAAGTAAAACAACGTAAATGGCAAGAGTAGCAATGCGCATAATAATAACTGCAAAGCTCAGCCAAGATGGAGCTAGGAAGATGGGGACTGGACTCCGGAGTGGGTCGGGAAACTCCCCAGTTAGGGTCTTAGTTGGGGTTTTTCAGTCCTCACTGGCTTAATTGTGAATGCATTATTCATGAGCCAACAGACAAAGACAAAGATGGAGGCGAACCAACCGAACCTTTAGCTTTTTAAGAAAGTGAGCAGGGAAAGTGGTTGTATAAGGCTATAAGGATACCTGTTATTTCATATTTTATATTTCATAGTTGAAAAAAATGTATATATAATGATAAATGAAAGTATTGACAGCACACTGTTTAAATCTTAACCAAACATTAACAACTCTTTCCATATGCAAGGGAGTTTATTTCAATAACCAATTTTCAGTCGACTTGTTCCACCCACTCAGTGATTGTAAATGGATATGGATTTTTTAAAGCCATCCTGTTGAACAGCAAAAAGGAAGCTGGCCTTAACATCCGGCTATTAAAGACATACAACTTGCGTTTTTAATAAGCACGCGCAGTAAAACTTTATTACAAGCGTTACTTTTAATGTTAACCAAATTTAGTGATCTAGATTGTTGCAAAGATTAAAGTAGTCTTATACCCCTGTACTTTGCAACTACGAGGTATTAAAAGATGAAGAGGACGCGAAGCGAAGCCAATAAAATCGTGTCCTGGCGTTGAGGATAAAGTTTTGTGCGTCTTGTCGCCGCTGCTCCTGCGGCAGAAAGAGCTACTAAACTAGCTGGGACAACAAGATGCCACTGGAAGTTCGAGTAAACGAACCATAACTGAAATTGCGCATACGTCATGTGCGCCATGCACGCCGAGAAGCCGCCCGCCCACACAGATGCGAAAACAAATACAATGACAAAACTCATTAGCTGCGTTGTGTGGGTGGGGGAGGGGAATTTGCGGCAGGTTATGTAGTGTAAAATTTTATAAATTGCATGCGGCTTCGCGGAATAAAAAGTAAAAAAAAAAGTTTAGCTAAAAGCCTCGGCAAAGTCGCCGACTTGCTGATGTCAACATCAATTTGTGTGGAACGGCCGCCATTCTGTTCCTGATTTATTTTCAGTTTCACTTTGTGTCCTTTGAGCGGGAACTGTGCGTGCCTATGTATGTGTGTGTGTGTAACTCGCACAAAAGGTCGGAAAATGCGAGTGGAAAACGCGCTCTGATGATGAGCGACAGAAAACAACCGAAATTTGCCAGATGTGACCCTGAAAGAGTCGGCTGGCTGGAGTTGGTCGGCAGTCATTAGGCCTAATGTACGGCTCATTTGACCAGGCCGAAACGCACACAGCCCGACGAATGGATATCGATCCAGAGTTAACTAACTTCCATGTCCCAATGCACTTTTCACTCACATCCAATTACTGTGCAGGCGACACTAAGCCATGTCGCAGTCAATTGTTTTGAGGCTGCCAACCCACATCTGACTCAACTGCCAGCCAGTCCCCATTAAGACCATTTTCCACACAACCCTTGACAGTTTCCCCGCCCTCGAATGCTTTAAGGAGTTTTCCCTGGGATACGCTTACCAATTCCTCAGAATTTTCATCCACTTTCGGGAAGCGAACTACGAAATGTTAAAGCATTGTGTGCTTAAATGTGTCACCTGTTCTTAGCACATTGCCTGGAAATCACCTGTGATTGAGGCAGTTTTCTGTGGAAAGTGAAAATGGGAGCCCAAATGACATGCACGCCGGGCTTAGGAAGGTATTCACTGGGGAAAATGTCAGCCAAATCTGCAGAGAGAAGAGCTTTAATATTTAGGATTGGAGATTTAAACAGGAAAACTTGGGGAAGCAAAAAGATGTTTATGCTGTGAAGGAATTTCCATTATTTACTTTGAATTTTTGCACCAAGAGAATGCTTTCTCCGAGCACATGTGCACTATATATCCCATTATTCAGGTCGCTCGGCTCACCTGCAGAATATATGCGACCTTGTCAAGTCAAATGGCTGGCACTGCTGTTGATTTTTCGATATGCTATTTTCCTGGAAAAGGAAAACAGAGGCCAAGTTTGTTTGGCACAGCTCTTGACTTATTGCCACCAGTTGGCAGTTGGTTAAAGTGCTTGGCACCGGCGTGTATGCATAAATTAATAACAATCATTACTATCGACAGCTCCTAGAAGTCGCCTGGCTTCAGGGGCTTTGGGGCTTGTTGGCCAACACGCTGCAATCTTATGGTGGTTAGTCCCGGGGAATCGAGAATGCCAGGCATATGGTCGCCTGTCATTTCTCATCTGCCTACGAGGAGGTTGACAACCAGCAAGGGCAACACGCCACAGCAGCAAGTCAAGTAGAGCTAACTAGGGTCTACTTTGCCGCCTGTCGCCTGCCGTGAAATGTGTCTGTGGCTTGGGGTTTCTTATATTTCTTTTCAACCCCCAGCCCCCAACCCCAACCCCAGGCCAACCCCACTAAAGCCCAGGCCAACCCCACTCAGCCCCAGCCATCAGCCATCAACGACGATGACGAGTACAAGTTTTTGCACCACAGTTTACTATGCGATGTGGATGAACACTCAGAATAAAAGAGGCAATAAAACGCAAATAATGTTTAGTTTTTCAGGGGAAAAGAATATTTAAAATGATCCCATCTAAGATAGAAATATAATTTTAAATCTACAACTTAAGCAGAAGGCCACGGTAGCTATTGCTTAAAACAAAGCATAAAATTATTCACAATTTGCAATTGTGGATAATTTCTATATAATAATAATAATAAAATTTTAAATCTAGAAAAACAATATTATGATAAAAGATTATTATAATTTAAGTAACTTCTTATTTAACATTTCAACTTCCCAGTATTTTTCTTAGTGTAAAAGGAGAACTGACTGCTTGATGGGCGAAGGGTTACTTTTCGGAGCGGGGGAAGCACTTCGTTTGTTGCTTAAAAGCGTCGTAATTTGATTGAATTTGCGTTGATTAAGCGTATTTAGCTGTTGGCAAATTATGAATGTGTTTAATTGCAAACTCAGTTAATTGTCTCGTGGGTAGGAGCCAAGTCGAAGACGGAGATCGGAAAGAGCGACTCCCCGGGTTTGTTATGGTTTCGTATTAACTGAATTAGCGTGTGTACAAATGCATCCTGCTACAAGGACGAATCCTCTGCTCCCCCCGAACAGCTTCGTTAATCCCCCGACTTGACTTTACGAGGGCGTTGAGATTTGCCGACAGCTTTTGCGGTTTTAATTGAAAATGTTGCGCATACGACATGTTGAACAGCCAGACATCCGAAACTCATATTAATATATGGGCTTTCATTGGAGAACAAATTGGTTGCCGGTCGCTGGCATAGAGAAAGTTTGCCTCAAGGTTGGGGCGTGCTTAATGTGGTCGAGTTTTCCCAACTTGACTCTGATTATGCAAATGCTGTAAATGAGCAAAAGTAAGACGGCAGGGGTAACTCGATTTGTGTGTGCGGCTTGCAAATTAATTCAGGGTGGGCAAAACACAGCAAAAATATGCTGCAACCGAAGTTAAAGCAAAGTTTGCAACTAAAGTTCGCTGTGCAGTCAAGTCATGAACTGCCAACACATCGACTACAGCCACTCAGTTCCCAGGCAGATGGGATGGCAAATTAATCCATTAGTAGGCCGCCAAGTGAGCCGTAAATTGCAGTTTACTCTAACCCATCGGCCGCATCCATCACCTCGATTTGCAGGCCATAAACTTGACCAGTCATGGGCAAAAGCGTGCCAACAAAGCGCAAAGAAAAGTGCGGAAAAAGCGCAGAAAAGTGTTTGACTTGAATGAAGAAATACGCTCGGCCAGCCATAAACATGCGTCAACTTTGTCAGCATTACCCACAGAACAGCATTAGCGACAGCTGTTCGCTGTTGTGGCTGCACTTAAGGGAAAATTGGTGAATAACTAATAAAATAAATCAGTTCGTAGCCATAAAAAATGTAATAAGCTGACAAAAAAGTTTTTAAAATAAGAACTCAGTCGATAAATGTATAAAAAGTAATTTGTAATTGAATGATATTTAGTGTTAGTATGAACCAGTCTCAAATTGAGTAATTGTTTTAATAATTTTGAGCCAAAGTCGTTAAATATAAGCTCTTAAATCTTTTCACATGTAGTATACACCTATAAAAAAATGTTTAATTTTAGAAAATAATATGATTTTTTTGCCGTGTATCTGCACAGCAGTGGCGACACTTGTACCGCTGCCCCATTGAGCGGCTTTCTCCTCCCGGCGTGGCCATAAAAAACGGTCACATTATGGCAACTAGGCCGGCCAGTGACCGCGGCGACACTTAATGGCCTGCGGGCAGCTCATTAAAATGTCAGACAGCGTGAAGTAATTACGATACTCGGCAAGTTTGCACTTGTTATTCGATTCTCCTGCCTCCTCCCACGAAGGAATCCCCACCAGAATCCATTGAATTGCTCATCGTGTTTCATGACTTTGGTTTATGTGTATCCTTTTTTGCAGGCGCAAGGACAGCAGTGCACTTCAGCGCTCGGCCAGCATCGACTCCTTTGCCGAGATTGTGTTTAGCGAGTCGCCGCGCTCCTCGCTGGCAGTCACGGCGCCAGGAGCCGCCTCCACCTCGGGAGGACCCTCGCCATTCAGCAAACGTCCTTCGGCCAGCAGCCTGTACTCCACCTCGTCGTCCTGCTCCTTCGTCTCGCAGGCGCAGGCCCAGCTGAATGTCAATTACGGTGACTCGGCAGCCGGTTCCGGAACAGCGGGTGGACCGGGCGGACCAGGTCACCATGGGGCGTCAGGTGGCAACGGGGCAAGCAGTGCCAGCAGCAGCCGGCGCGAAAGCATGCTGAGCCCCTCTTCCACACGCCGCTCCAAGCTGACCAGAATCATAAACGGTGAGTGCGGAAAATCGGATGCGGAATCCACAATTTCTGTTTTGTTGCCTGGCGATGCGTGTCATATCGATGTATAGTGCTGAGAAATATATATATATAGAGTATATATCTTTTGTTTGTTTAACAAAAGCTTATTACGCACAGGAAACATTTACAAAAAGCCTTTAACAAATAATTTCATAACACACCATTTGTAACTTCATAATACGAAATATTACTTTAAATAATATCTTTTTATAAATACTGGATACACCTTAGCCTAGAAGAAACAACCTTTTAAGCTTAAATTAGCCAGATAAAGCCAAATACTATAGCTTTACCATCTCTGTCAAGTTGTTGAAGGGAACTTTCCGACCAGAATGGGAAGTGGACGGAAAGAGCTCATCGTTCTAGTCATCGGTGGCTTATTTATTTCGCTGCAGCTAGCTGATTGAAATTCAAATGCGCACTTGAGTTTTCCGGATGAAAAGCCGGGCAGGCGCGGTATTAAATCGATTGCCACTTGGGCCAAGTGCTCAAAGCTCAAAAAGGCCCTGCGATTGAAAATCCGAGAGTGGCTTATTGATCAAAAAATCAATTTAATGCAACGAACTAGAGAATCTTCACAAACTTTTGTTAATGGTGAAATATTTAGCATTTGCCGCCGATGAAAACAAACTTTTAGGGCCGTAAAACACTCAACAAGTCAAAGGTGAAAACTTGTGCCTTAGTGCTTCGGGGTTCAATCGGCTGAAATAGTTACTAGAGCAAAACCGAAACTTGTTCAAAATCCTCAAGCGGTTTCTCTTAAGCAAACTTTAAAATCAAACTTTTCCTAGAAGTGCACTCCAAAGCCTATCAGAGAAAGAAAAAAGGAAACCGGAACTTGTCTCCGATTAAAAAAATCAGTAAGCTTACCAGATTATTATTACATTCAGAAATATATACTTAAAGTTAGAATTGAACGAAATTACAACATGCTAAAGTCTCACTTCAGTTCTTAATAAAACCATAAGCATTTTATTTTGTTTAATATATTTTTGATAACAATTCTAAGTCGAAATTTATCCATATTAAATAATAGTTTATTTTTCGTTGTGTATATAATAATTCTCTGATAATTGGTTGGGATACATGAAATAATAAAGCCGAGCTTCCCCTCCCAGCTTCCGAAGCAAGGGATAAGCCTTTTGCTGCGATAGCGAAAAATAGACTGGCTGGGAGAGTGATCTGTATGTTCTCCCACTCATTATCTCGCTTTATAGATGCCCCCAGCTGAGAAACTTCCAAGTTGCAACGCCACAGAGAGTGGCGAACTTTCAGTGTTGTGAGCTTAGCTTTTTTGCCTTAAAATTATGTAGGTATAAGTGCCTTAAATATCAGAAAATTTGGAAAGCTTAAGTCGTGTTAATTTTTTAACCACAGACGTCAATATTTTGTTTAGGACTTTATTGTTAAAAAGTATTTGCTTTTTTACATCATTTAGATCAGTTAGTTAGCTTAACTATGTATATTTAACGTAAAGAATGGCGATTTTCTTGGCAACTCTGCGAATAACTGTGAAGCGTTGACCATTAACTACCAACGCCAACGCTGACGTCGACGTCGACGCCGGCAGCGACTGCGGCAGACAACAACGGTTGTTCCCCACGATCGCCGAGCGGAGCAACAAATAACTTTGTTTTCTCATTCGACGATCGTCTTTTGAGCGGAGAGCGCACTGCGCGTCGGCGTCGCGAATAAGAAGTCCCCATTCGACAGTTTGTGTTTTAAAAATCCCAATTGGTGAATGTCGTTATTTTGACATCAAGTGTAGATCTGTTTTTCTTTCTTAGTGCTGAATAAGATTACGGATTAAAAATTTGTGAAAATTTGTCGAATGAAAAACGCGTCTCTTGGCCGTTTTGTTTCTGCTTCGCTTGCTTCGTCTCCGTGTGTGTGAGTGTACGTATACACAGCTACCTGTTTGCGGCTTCACGGTGTGAGTGTGCGAGAAAGAGAGAGAGAGAAAAAGAGATCACCTTGTTGGTGTTACCTGCGCAGAAGTAGCGGGAGAGAGCTACAAAGAGAGGGCCAAAAGGAGAGTGTGTGCGTGCTACTTAAGAAGTGTCAAAAAACTAAAGGCGTCGCTTTCGTTTAAAAAAGAAACGTAAAACCCCAAACAGTATTTTAAAAACCCAGTAAATAGCTTCGGGCCAAAGAGAAATTCGTGGTTTGTGTTTATTTGCAATGTTAATTAAATATTACGTGCCAGTAAAAACTGCAATTTGCTGGGAGACAGTTGGGCTCTAACGGTAATTGGATTGCATGTCCAACTTTGTGGGAGCCGCAGCAACAATTGTCAGGGCGAAAGAAAGAGAGGGGCAGCGAAAGTGAACTTTTGCTTTTGTGGCCAAGAGGGACGAAGGAAGAGAGAGATAGAGAGGGCGAGTGCAATTTACTCACGTGTCTATCAAACTGTCTCCCCGTTGATGCGTCTTCTTCTTCCTTGTACGCCCCCCACTTTTTGCTGCAACATAATTATTTACACTGAAACAAAAATAAACATCATCTGATGATGAAATTAATTGTAAAAAACAATACAGATACAAAATATTAAATCATCAATATTTTAAAAATAAAGTGCTTGAATTTTTGCCTGCATTTGTTGTAAAATATTGTTAAAATATTAAAAAAATATGCCGAATGTTATTTCTGTGGAACTCCTCTTTCGCTTGCACTCACACAGCCGTAAGAAACTGCAACTGTAAAAAGCTTTTTGCAAGCCGACTGATCTTTGTTGTTGTCTTATTTGTTGTGTTGTTTTCACAGTCGACGTTTTCATTAAAGTGGTTTGTGCTGCAATTTTAAATACGCTCCCCGCACAATGAACAGGTAAGCTCACGCACACATACTTCACCTTTACCACACACACACCCAACCAACCAAACACACACTTCTACACAAAGGCAGCCTCTTACTTTGTTGTTGTTTATAAGGAGGGGGTTTTGAGGGGGTAAAAAATATGCAACGACATGAAAAACTTGAACTATTGCAACATTTTTGCGTTGTCTTGGCTTTTGTTAACCAAGGTTTATTCACACCGCAGGAAAGTCAAAGTTGTCGGCGTCTGAAAAGAAAAATGTTTCATCTGTTAGTCTGAAAAACCCGCCACTATAAAACTCTTGTCAGCTAGGTTTTCTCGTTTTCCACTGCTTTTCCCAATGCATGTTGTGCCTTGCGGTTTGTTTACTGCAGTTTTTGCAGTTGACAGCTGCAAATTTAGCTCAGCACGCAATTTTCCTAGGCCACCAAGTTCCCATTTTCCACTTACCACCCAAAGACCCACTGGGAATTCAAGCTGAAGTTCACGCTGACCATTAATATTTCAAAGGTTGTTTTTAGCCGTTGTTTCTATCTCGGTTCGTTTAGCAAAACAAACCCGTAAACCCCTAACGTTTCCGTCCATAAAGTTCAAGAGACGTATGCGCCTCTTATATTTCGGGTTTTCGTTTACCCGTAAAATAAAAACAAAATAGTGTACAACGAAAGTTTGTGACTCTTAAGCATACAAAAAATAAGTTTTTCTGGGTCTTATGCACTGAGAAAATTACCCTATATTCTATTTCGTGCCGTTATAAAAAAATTAAATTAGGTTCCCTCAATCAAACATAAAAAAGTAATTTTTACCGATTTTGAAGGCGAATATGAACACCTAGCCCATACGCTCTTTTTCCCAATTTTTTTTGTGTAGCTAAGTTTCGACAACCACAGTCACCTGAAAGAGAATGTTAAAGGTTTGGGGAGGTGTAGCGACCTGAAGCACTTAAGAACGCGCCACAGGCCAAAGTTTATGTTTGCGTTGGTTATTCTATTTATTTGGAGTTTTGCACTTATTAAAAAGTTTTAAATGTTTGATTAAAAAAGAACTCATCGCGAAATTTGTTGTGGCACATTGCTGGCAACTTTTACCAATTCCTTAAGGGGTTATATCCAGTTGCGATTTTGAAAAAATCGAAATTTTTTTTTTTGCCTATTTTGAATGTATATATATCTAAGAAGATTGTCTGAAAATTTCAAAGTATTCCGGTAAATAGTATTGGAGTAATAAGTGTATTTGTAAAGACGCCTCCCATGTAGTTCAACTAGTAGCCAAAACTTTAAGTGCGTTTTTCTCGAAACTATGTCTTCAAAGTCGGTGAGCAAAATTTCTCAGAGACGGCTTGTCCGATTGACTTGAAACTTTCACATTCTCTTCTTAGATATTTTTTCAGGTAATGAAACTTGGAATTTTGGCTCCGACAAAAACTTCGATTTTTTTAGCCACTTCAAAGTTGAAATTTTTGTGCCAAAAACAAAGTTTTATGTTTGGGAAGCCGCCATTTTGTCAAAAATCAAAATTTTGAAAATCCCAAGTCTCATTACCAGCATTTGTCTATTCTTTACGTAATCCTTTTGGTTTTTTGCATTTCAAATAATTTGGACCGGAGATATTTTGCTCACCGCAAAACCTTTTTTTGAAGTGGACCCTCGGGAGATCCTCTACAGGACCGACGGAGTCCAAATTTTTTTTTTTTTTTAAATATATTCTAAAACTGGAAATAATGACCTATCTTTTCATATATATTACGTATTCATACAATAAATAGCCTCTCCAAAAATAATTTTCAAAAAAGCTCATTTTTTTGGCCTCGCAACTGGATATAACCCCTTAAGTTTGTTTACTTTTAGTCTCGCTCCTCTTCTTCCACCCATCTTATAGTTATCGCGGTTGTTGGTTTTGGCAGTTTAAAAACTTGCGCAGCTCATGGCTGAAAAAAACAAACATAAGCAACAGAACAACAAGCACGCAAAGATATCAGTTGTCGTCGATGTGTATTGTATAATATGTCTGCAGATAAGGTTTAGAACCCCATAGGTGTGTTCCCAATGATTAAGGTAGAATGTGTGATTCGAGGCGCTGGACATTGTTTGCTTTTTTTGCGAAATGGGAGAATAGCGTGACTTGTGCGGTAACGAAATTTGAATAAGAACCGCTTTTA